ATAAGCAGGAAAAAAAATGCAAAGTTATTTCCATTTGGGAGGGAAAATGTTGAAGATGAAGTTCCAGAAATGTTTGTTGTTCCCTTTGGCTCCAGACTTCAACAGAGTTAATTATATCTACTAGGATGATTGCTTAAGAAAAACGATTTTGAATCCTTAGAGAAAAATGGCAAACAAAATAAGGTGATAAGATTCTTCATATTTATATTTACTAATAGTCATAAACTTTTACTTCCTAACCAAACTATAGAACAAGAAAGAAACTGCAATCTATGTAAATTGATTGGAGATGAGCCCAAAGGTCATGAATAACCAGTCATTGGTGATGGAATTTATCCTGCAGGGATTCTCAGAAACACCCCAACTTCAGTTTCTCTCCTTTATTTTCTTCCTCATACTCTATTCCATGGCCCTCTGTGGAAATTTCCTCATCGTGATGGTCATCACCTTCAGCTCCAGGCTTCATACTCCCATGTACTTCTTTCTGGTCAACTTGTCTGTGTTGGATGTTGTCTGTGCATGTACTGTGGTTCCCAAGCTATTGGGGATCTTGGTGGCAGAGAAGAGAACCATCTCATATGAAGGCTGCATGACCCAGATGTTCTTTCTGACATGGTCTGTTGCAGCAGAGTTGCTGCTCTTTACAGCCATGGCCTATGATCGCTACGTGGCCATCTGCCAGCCCCTGCACTACAGCTCCATGATGAGTCCTCGGGTGTGTGCAGTTCTGGCTGGAGCTGTGTGGAGCATCAGTGTGCTTGGGGCTGGGATCAACACTTGTCTGATATTGCGGCTAACTTTCTGTGGGCCCAACGTGATAGACCACTTCTTCTGTGAGATCCCCCCAATTCTACTAATCTCCTGCTCCTCCACATATGTGAATGACATCATGACTATTGTGGCAGACATTTTCTTTGCTGATTTTAATTTCTTGCTCACCATGGTGTCCTACAGCTTCATCATCTCCACTATCCTGAAGATTCGTACAGCTGAGGGGAAGCGCCGTGCCTTTTCCACCTGCTCCTCTCACCTCACTGTGGTTACCATGTACTACTCCACTGTCATTTATGCTTACCTAAGTCCAAGCTCCAGTTATTCCCCAGAAGTGGGCAAGATCCTGGCAGTGATTTACTCCACAGTGAGTCCCACCTTGAACCCTCTCATTTATTCCCTCAGGAACAAGGATGTCAAGGCAGCCCTCAAGAAAGTTTTGATGATTATGTTAGAAAAACTGAATTGTTAGTCTCCAATGTCTCTTTTCTTTGTTGTCCTCTGATTGCTAAAAGTTCTGAGATGTGTACCACCATTTTTGAAAGTCCTATCCTCATGGATGGTGTCACTACAACACTCAGTCTTGCTTTGTAGAGAAAACATTCCTTCCTTTAATTTCTATAGCATCTCTAGGGTTTGTGGCTTTCAACATCCGTTTACTCAAAGTTTAGGGTTCCTAGACTATATATAGCACATAGTATCAGGGAACAGATATGCTTTGTATCTCTCAGATATCTACAGGTTGAACATCTATCTCAGAATCCTTACCTAATGCTCATGAGATAGAGACCAGATCAATTTGAAAGATACTCAATTTGAAAGTGCTTAGATCAACTGGACTTTGCAAATTGTCCCAAATTGCAGAGGAAGTGTCTTCCTTCCCATCCAAAGACTGCTTTTCTTTTTATCACAAGAAAACAGACAATCAAGGCACTATGGCTAGTTATAGATGATAGAAAACAGGAAATTATCAAGAAATTATGATAGGTGGTAGATCAATTCATTATCATGATTAAGATCGGTATATAATGACAGATTAGAAAAGTTTACATAAGATTGGTTTTGGGTCCCATTAGTATAACTCATGATCATGTGGCCCTGGCACCTCAACTATAAATCATTAAGTACACACCTGAGCAAGTGCCCCTGGACTCTAGGGTATTTGTAACCTACTTTCAAACACACTCTCCCTGAGGACAAAGTGATTCACATCTCACGTTAATGGTCAGAATGAACTCCAATGACGGTTGAATTTATGTCACGCTCACACTGTAAACTACAGCCTCCCACAATTCAATGCTTTGGAATTTAAATTCTAATATAGTCCTGAGCCATCATCCAAATTTTAGTTTTCAGGCCCACAGCATCTAAACATACTATTACATGTGTGGGTAAACTTTCCAAGCTTGATGCATAAGAGGGGACAGGAGGGCAGTGCTAGGGTGAGCTCTGGATTTGCAGCCAGCTTGATGGAGAGTCACGTGGCAGTTGTTAATCATACAGACCAAGGTTCAGTCCACATCCAAATCTGTTTCCAGATCTGCCCAAGGAGACAGGTAATGACACAGACCTCAGACTGGAGTGAGGAAGAAGGGAATCCTGCTAGGTCAGTCCTCAAAATGTATGCTATTATTGCCATCATTCTCATCTCTCTGGGCCTTGGCTCCCTCATCTGTAAACCAGGGAAGCGGCGGAGTGAATGACATGAAGTAAAACATTGTGACACAGTAAGTACATAATATAGAAAGGAGCCATCTCTGTCAAGCACCTTCACAAGTATATCAGGGGAAGTTTAGTAACTAAAACAAATAGCAATGAGCATCCTGTCAATTCTGGCTCAAGGTGACCTTATCTGTGTCATAGTAGAAATGTACTCCACAGGATTTTCAACGATTTTTTGGAAGTAAATTGCTAGGCTTTTCTTTCGTCATGCCTCTGAGTAAACTCAAACCTCCAACGTTTTGGTAAGCACATGAGAAAGTACCATCCGGGGACTCTTAATTGGCAGGACATAACAAGTAGTGGTTGAAACAGCAGTCAAGGTCTTGATGAAGTGGAGGTGACTTGTGTGTGAGTGATCAGATGGTGGGATATGCTGTCATTTGTTCAGTGAATAAACCAGCTAAAATCCTTGATCTCTTACAAATGTTAAGATTGTGGGCTCTGGGGATCAAATTGAGAGCAGCTGCGAAAAGTCTTTGGTTTCCTGGAACTTATGGACCTGCTACATAGCAGATGATAAATAAATGAAACATAATCCACAATATGATACTATTTTCAACACACGATTAAGTTAAAGATGCCCTACTCTACTCGTGATCCATTTCTGGGTGTTCTTGTATAAATACACAAGTAGATAGGTTGAAAGTTTTTTGTTTCCTTTCTTTTGCAATAGCAAAAAAGTGGAACCCATCTAATGAACTTAACTTTCTATCAGCAAAGAAATGGATACATAAACCATGATTTCATCATACATGTAGAATATCATACTAGATCTATATGCATCAATATGAACAAATCTCAAAATCATAACTGATTGAGCAAAACAAGTTTAAAATGTAGGTATTTTGGTGTTAAAGGATTGCTATGTGTATAAAACACTGATAAGATGCTATATTGTTTATTGAAATAAAATGATGCAAACACTTATGAGAAAGATGCATGCCATTGTCTGAGGAGTGGTTAGATTTATTATAGTGTTTATAACAATGATGGAAGGAGGCAAAGGGAATAAAATTAGTTGTATCTGTATTTTTCGTACCTTAAATAAGGAGGGTGAAAGCAAATCTGGCAATATATCAGCATCTAATTACATGCACATGCTTCAAATTTCACATAATTTCAAATACTGAAAATAAAAAAGGAATCACCTGGAATCAAAATCTAGTAACTCTGTATTTTTACTAGACTCTCTTGCTGATGATTATGCAAGCTGAAGTGTGAGAATTCTTGATTTAAGAGGTAAGCAAGGATTTCCTCATTTTTACACTATACAATACATCAGGGATTTGATATGAGTTCTTTCTCAACCACAGAGAAAGTTGTAGGTCTCCAACTATTGAGAAAGCTGTAGGCCTCTCTCAACTAAATTCCTCTGGATTAGCTGATATTTTGGATTTTAACTTTACAGTATAGAAGGTGCATATCCTGTTTGTTTCAAGACAAGTTGTCAATATCATAATACACATTTTCAGAAGAAACCTTTTTAGTAAATGGCAGTTCAAATAGCTAGGGAATGTGCCCATATTATCCTGTGTAGGATCACCTTATTTCTTCTCTGTTGTCTGTAGGCTGAGTGCATTTCTCATGCTTTCAAATGCTCTCTCACCATTGCATTGTGTGGCCATATGCAGTTCATGGTGACTTTGTGCAAATTATATTCTCATTATTGTGGAAGTAACATTTCACAGCCTGCTGTGATCAGTTTCTTAGTTGTATCCTTGGCAGTATGATTAAGTTGTGGTAAGTTTGTAAAGGGACCACAGGCTGCATCAGGGTGGTAATGCAATCCTTGACATCCAGAAATAGTATGATGGGAAAAATATTTCTTCTAAACTCTATAAAAAAATTAGCCACACATTAGAATTAATCACACATTAGAATGTTCCCAACATACCTCCAGGCATCCTGAGTTCTATTATGCACAGCCTTTCCTAATCCCTAAAGAGATTGAAACTCACCCAAATGTTACATGGCACTGGTAGTTTGGAGTCATCAGTTTTGGAGATGTTTTTATTAAATTGGTCCCTCTGGGTCACTTTAGCAATTTAGAATTCACCTCCCAATTTTCCAGGTTTTTGGTAATATTTATATATCTTACCTATTTTCCATATGTTTCTCTGAAAATGTCTAATTTAGTTAATCACTAGAATAATTTAAGATAGGCAAAAAATAAGGTCACTACAATTAACCCCTAATTTTTTTCTTAGTTTTCCTCTACATAAGACCACATGTGTATTTGCTATAATTTTTTAAATGTTGCAAAAGCTGAGTGGAAACAACACAATCAAGTTTGTTCCTCCCTATATATGCATCTATTGCTTGCACACATGCAAGCACTATTAAAAAAACAAAACAAAACCACTTTGTGAATTCAGTGAAGGTTTACAAAGCAGATCATTAGTTTTGTATTTAACAAATCATACATTTGATTTCATTTCACTGATTGCAATCCCTTTTATTGTAACATCACTGATTCCACTTCCTTTACGTATCTCTTGTTTCTTCTATTCTTCCTTCTTTACCAGCCTTTCTGAAATTTACCTTTGGGTAAATACTGCCTTTCTTATCTTGAATGGTGGACCATTCTGTGGTGCACATGCCTCACTAGTGGCATTGTCTCCTTGTTTATCTATCTATTGTTTGCTGAAAATTGAATCCGTTTTAGACCTGAAGGCTAACCAAAGGCCTTAGTCTCAGGTTCCGCCAGTCTTTATCTGACCTGTAAGACTGGTTTGTTTTATGAGTTTGTTCTACAGTATCTCCAACTGGACCTGGTAATGTGACCCTTTCAGAGCAGTTTGTAGTGGTATCCAGGCACCATCTAGTTCTTCTGGTCTCGAGGTCATGGAGACTGATGTTCATCAAATATATCATTTTAATTCTCAGAGACAATGACTATTACTTGTTTCTTTTGTATTTTCCAAAACATTTTCAAATGAGACTATACTGTTGCAAATTTTAAAGAAATTTAATAAATGTTGGTATGATAGTGAAGGTTTTGTGCCAATGTGACTATGCCAGAATTCTCATTGGTTAGGCAGTTGAGGTGCAGCTGTCTGCATAACATATATTGTTTTGGAACACAATGTGATTAATTAATTCTGTGTTGGGTTCTTCTAAGGACAGCCAATAAATTGAAAGAACATATCCTCAAGGTAGGGCCTACTTCCAATATAGTGGACACTTAAGTAAAACTTGTTTTTTCTGCTGGGTCTGGATTTTGTAACTGGCTTACCCTCTGACCTCTAGTCTTTGAAATTGAGCCAGTGACCTGCTCTATTACCTGCCAACCCTGGAAGTCCTCATAAGCCTGCCTTTTTACGTGTTGGACCTGCCTGCATGCCTGACCTACCTGCCTGTCTTCTGTCTGACCTCTTGGTTCATTTGACCTGGAGTTGGAACTTCTCATCTCTACAACTGTGTAAGTCATTTCAATGATATAAATTTCTTTTTTATCTATACATATACAATTTTCACTAGTTTTGCTTCTCTAGAGAACCCAATCTAAGACAGGTTTTCATAATACTAATTATACAGATGAATTTAGGAGACATTGTGAGTTCAATTCCAGACCACTGCAATAAAGTTAATGTTGCAATAAAGTGAGTCACACACATTTTTTTGTGTGTGTTCTCAGTGCATATGTAAATTATATTTGCACTATACTGTAATTTATTCAGTGCAATAGCATTATGAAAAAAGTTTGAAATATTGCAATGATTTCCAAAAGATGACGCAGCACAAAATGAG